GATCTCCGCTCACCGCAACCTCCGCCTCCTGGGTTCAGGCAATTCTCCTGCCTCAGCCTCCTGAGTAGCTGGGATTACAGGCACGCGCCACCATGCCCAGCTGATTTTTTGCATTTTTAGTAGAGACGGGGTTTCACCATGTTGACCAGGATGGTCTCGATCTCTTGACCTCGTGATCCACCCGCCTCGGCCTCCCAAAGTGCTGGGATTACAGGCGTGAGCCACCGCGCCCGGCCGATACACTAATTTCTTGTAGATCTTGTGGACTGGGCTGTTTTGCCTTTATTGCAAAATTATTGATTGTGGGCAAACTGTATACAAAAGACTCTACTAGGCCCTTAGAGAATATAAGGATAGAGATGATGGTCTGGCATCCTTGAGGAGCTCCCTAACTAAGAAGGAACATAAGAGAAACATATTAGGTTGAATCGTAGGAGATTAGTTAGCATTGATTATTCACATGGGAAGATTTAACCTGACACATAACTAAAATAAGGCAGTGCAGTTGAATGTAGTGAACTCTCCTTATGTTTCAGGCACCATGCTAAGTATTTTACACTAGTTCCTGAAGCCTTAAAATAACTCTCAGATGTGGGTACCACAGTCATCCCCTATTTTATAGACGAGGAAGTTGAGGCCTTGAATGGTGAAATGACTTGCCCAAAGCCACATACCTGTTAAGTGACAAAATTAGAATTTGAACCCAGGTCAGTCTGAGTAGAGCCAGTACACTTAAACCTCCGAATATAAGGACCTCTATAGGTACAAATAAAGGTATATACATTATTTATGCACACCAATAATTTAAAAGATTTTGTTTTGCAAACACTCTGTAGAACACTTACTAACTCTTCTGGTATGTGTTGCCGTTTCTGTGATCTGGACGCATCTGGTCATGCGTATCCGTACTCAGTCTCCAGCATTTGCATTCTCCCCTTCTGAGACTGTTTAACCAACCAAGGGGAACATTTGGAGGGAGAGAAAGAAGAACACTTTCACTTTTCATTGTTCTGTGGACACTGGGCCTGTTTATTTGGAGGTCCAAGCATGTGTTAGAACATTTCAATTATATTTACCTCCTTTTTTTTTTCCTGTCTGGTTGCCTTTCTTTCTAAGTCACATACACAGATGGGAATCATAGGAGTTGCCATTTACTTGTACATAATTGTAGAGAAACAATTAAAGTTATTTGCATATAGTAAAGCCATTTTAAGAACTTTCCTCTTGGCCAGGTGTGGTGGCTCAAGTCTGTAATCCCAGCACTTTGGGAGGCCGAGCCAGGCGGATCACGAGGTCAAGAAATCAAGACCATCCTGGCCAACATGGTGAAACCCCTTCTCTGCTAAAAATACAAAAATTAGCTGGAGCTTCGGTGGCTCTCGCCTGTAGTCCCAGCAAGTCAGGAGGCTGAGGCAGGAGAATTGCTTCAACCCGGGAGGCGAGGCAGAGGTTGCAGTGAGCAGAGATCATGCCACTGTACTGCAGCCAGGCAACAGAGCAAGACTCCGTCCAAAAAAAAAAAAAAAAAATGTTTTCTAATTTTGTATTCAGCTACCAAAATCCTGTCTATATAAATTATAATTTTAAATTTTAATATATGAAAGTATATCCCTCATTTAAACTAAGTTTTGTGGTAATCCGGGGGAAAAGTTGTTTTTGTTTTGCCATATTATTAAATAATTATAATTTTGGTTGTACCTGGAGAATCTGAAATTCTCCTACTGTGCCCCACTATTTTGCAAACTCCTCCTCCAGATTTAAAATTAGGTTGGACAACTGGCATTCTCAAAGTAGGTCTTCACTAATTAGATGGTTGTCCCTTCTGTCTGTACCACACCACTGGACTCCAACGTTAACATTGAAACAGCAAAGACAGTTTGTTCCCAAGATCCTTTTCAGGTCTGACAGAGAGGGTGAGTTTTGGGGTCAGCCAGACTTGGTTATCCTGTCTGCCCTTATTAGACTGATATCCTCAGGCAAATTCCTGTTGGGAACCTCATCTACAAAATCAAGATAATTAAACCTTATTCTTCGGGTTTGAGTGAAAATTCATGTGACAATGTGTTTAAGTATCTAGCATAATGCCTGGTGGCACTTAGAAGACCCTTATTAAATGCCAGTGTTCTTATATTTGGACATTCTCTTTAAAAAGCCTGCAATGCCCTAGGCTCTTTATGAGTATATAAATTCAGCTTTGTTATGTCATCTTTTAAAGTCAGATTTCAGTTTCCTCGCAGTTTTGGCTGACTTGAGAGGATAGCTTTCTGAAATCTATTACTGTGTCACTGGAGGGCCCGACACTGTGGCTTACACCTGTAATGCCAGCAGGCTGAGGCGGAAGGATCACTTGATCCCAGGAGTTTAAAACCAACCAGGGCAACAAAACAAGACCCTGTCTCTCAAAAACTAAAAAACTGGCCAAGACCGGGCGCAGTGGCTCATGCCCTGTAATCCCAGCACTTTGGGTGGCCAACGCAGGCGGATCACGAGGTCAGGAGATTGAGACCATCTTGGCCAACATGGTGAAACCCCTTCTCTACTAAAATTATGAAAAAAATTAGCCGGGTGTAATGGTGTGCACCTGTAGTCCCAGCTACTTAGGAGACTGAAGCAGGAGAATTGCTTGAACCCAGGAGGTAGAGGCTGCAGTGAGCCAAGATCGCGCCACTGCACTCTAGCCTGGGCAACAGAGCATAACTCTGTCTCAAAAATAAAAAAAACAAAAAGTAAAAAAAAATGGCCAAGTGTGGTGGTGTGCACCTATATTACCAGCTACTAGGAAGGCTGAGGCTAGAGGATTGTTTGAGCGCAGGAGTTTCAGGCTATAGTAATATATGATCATGCCTCTGCACTCCAGCCTGGGTAACAGGAAGATCCTGTCTCAAGAAACTAAAGTACACACTCACACACACATATATCATCGGAGCTATGGAGCAACAGCTGTAAAACTTGCTTGGTGGGCCCAAATTGCAATGCATAATATATGGACTCTTGAAATGTAATTCTTAGGAATTGGTATTATAATTAAATCCTAGCCAATCCAAAGGCACCTTAAAACATGTTTAAAAAATTTTCCAAGCCAATTAGAAAACTGGTTGGTCCAACCATCAAGTGTAGAGAAATATGCTAGTTTATACAAAGACTACTGTTCGAAGAAGCCCTTGGCTGCATTTGCAGCAAAATATCTGAGAATATACCTCAATGATACTGTGTGATACTAAATCACTGAATGTATTTTTAAGGCACATTTAAATATAAAGCATACATTATGAATGATAAAATGGCAGTACTAGAACAAGATATGGTGTTTTTCTTTGTTTGGTTTTTTTGAGACAGAGTCTTGCTCTATCATCCAATCTCAAGCGACTCTTGTGCCTCAGCCTCTCTGGAATAGCTGGGACTATAGCTACATGCCACCATGCCTGGCTAAGTTTTATATTTTGGTAGAGACAGGGTTTTGCCATGTTTGCCAGGCTGCTCTTTAACTCCTGGCCTCAAGCAGTCCTCTCACCTTGGCCTCCCAAAGGACTTACAGGCATGAGCCACTGCACCCAGCCAGATCTTTTTATTTTATTATTTTTTTAGAGACAGGGTCTCACTCTTTTAACCTGGCTGGAGTGCACTGGCATGATCATAGCTCACTGCAACCTCCAACTCGTGGGCTCAGGCGGTCCTCCCACCTCAGTCTCCCAGTATCTGGGACTGCAGGCATGTGTCACACATACCTGGCTGATTTTTAAATATTTTTAGAGATGGGATCTTGTGCTGTGTTGCTCAGGCTTGTCTTGAACTTCTCACCTCAAATGATTCTCCTTTCTCAGCCTCTCAAAGTGCTGGGATTACAGGTATGAACCACTGCATCCTGACTAAAAAGATCTTCTATGTTGAATATGACAACATGCCAGCCTTGACAGATTTAATTTATTCAATATAGTCTAGTTACAGTATCCTTATATATGTAAGAAAGGTGTACTACCACTAAGGGTTTTTTGTGGTTTTTTTTAATGCTAAGGGGATATAGAAACCATACAATAATTTCATTTAAATAATTTTAATCTATGGATATTGAGAACTCACCAAATATCTGGGAGAGATAGGTTTGAGCCATTTGAGAATGGCTACTCCATAGGTAGAGCAACTGAGCATTTGGTTTATCAGCATCCTATTGCTATATGCATTACAAATGAATTTTAAAGCAATTTATAATATTTCTGAGGCTTAATATGTATTGTTTTTTTTTTTTTTGAGACAGAGTCTTGCTCTGTTGTCCAGGCTGGAGTGCAGTGGCATGATCTCAGCTTACTGCAGCCTTTGCCTTCCAGGTTCAAGCGATTGTCCTGCCTCAGCCTCCTGAGCAGCTGGGATTATAGGGGTTTGCCACCACGCCTGGCTAATTTTTTGTATTTTAGCAGAGACAGGGTTTTACCATGTTGGCCAAGCTGGTCTCGAACTCCTGACCTCATGTGATCCACCCACCTCAGCCTCCCAAAGTGCTGGGATTGCAGGCGTGAGGCACTGCACCCAGCCAGTATGTATTGTTTAAAACCTGAATTACATTCTGTACAATTCATCTTTTATCTATCCTTGATGTTTATTTAAAATAAAAGACGACAGCAAAAACCCCAGTATATTTTGTGGGCATTTGTAGTTAACCTAGACTACAAGGTACCTGCTCCCACTCCAGGCCAAATAATTTTTTTTTTTTTTTTTTTTTTTTTTTGAGTCTCGCTCTGTTACCCAGGCTGGAGTGCAATGCGTAGTCTTGGCTCACTGCAACTTTCGTCTCTCAGGTTCAAGTGATTCTCCTGCCTCAGCCTCCTGAGTAGCTGGGCTTACAGAAGCCCACCGCAAAGCCCAGCTAACTTTTGCATTTTTAGTAGAGATGAGGTTTTACCATGTTGGCCAGACTGGTCTTGAACTCCTTACCTCAGGTGATCCACCCGTCTCAGCCTCCCAAACTGCTGGGATTACAGGCGTGAGCCACCACACCGGACCTGGGCCACAGAATTTAAATGCTTTGGATACTAGATGGTTTACAGAGAAGTCTCAACAATTTGAGATTTGAGATTAAAAATGGGTGGTAATTATACTTGGACCAAAGAATGTTAAAAGGTTGACGAGCTCTCTTTTAAGAATGAGGGAGCTATGTAATGAAAATTCTGCAAATATGGAGATAAAAGATACCTACATTAAAGAGAAGGCAGTAGAAAATGAATGTTTTGAGAGTGATTTACTCTGCCTCACTTTCCTTTTAGTAAAGTTTTTTGTTTTCCTTTTTAATGTTGACATACCAGCTTCACAGGTAAGGTTTCACAGAATTTTGGAATGGACAGAGTTGCAAAGGAAAGGTTAGTATATTTAAAAGTTAGGATGAACCAGTTAGTTGCCTAATAACTAGGTTAAAAGTGGTTTTTTGTTTTAAAAAGCATATGCAAAATGTATTTACTGAGGCTTGCTCTAATTAGAGTTCTAAACAAATCTCGTAGGGTGTTTTGTTTTATTTTTATTTTTTGGTCTTTAATCTCCCCCCTTCCCGTGTCAAGCTAAAACTGGGGGGGGGGGGGGTGTGCGTGTGTGTGTGTGTGTGTGTGTGTGTAGCCTGCAAGAGAAATTTAGCACGCACCTCGTGGATCTTAATATTTTTTTTTAAGCCAAATAAAACTGTTTCTTGAATAAACCAATACATTTCTGAAGTTAAAAAGAATCCCAAAGGAAACAGGAATGAACATCCTTGGAGCTTGATTTTCCAGAAAAAAAAAAAATTTTTTTTTTCTAATTAAAAAAATCCTAATCTCCACATTTTTTGCCAGGCGAGAACCGAAGTTTGGAGGTAGACGAGCAGGCGAGCGGTTTGCCCGGGCACAGAGCATGAAGGCCGGGCGGGCGCGGGGAGCGGGCGCCCGCCGCCCGGCGCGGGGGTGAGCGAGAGAGAGAGCGGAGCGCGTGTGGCCGGCGCCGCTCGGCCGGGAGCTCCCGCGCTCGCGCCCCGCGCCCCGCGCCCGCCGCCGCCGCCGCCGCCGCCGCCCCTGTTGCGATGGCGCAGAAACCCCGTTGACAAGGCACTGCTTTTTCATGACGGTGAGTTTCCCTTTGAGTGTATTATAATTTTGTGATAAAAATTTCAAGGAGAAAAAAAAAAAAACACACAACCTCCTTCCTCTGCCTCTTTCCTTCGGGGAGGGGAAAAGCGAGGGAGGGGGGGCTGGAGATCTGTCTCCAGACAGACAGAAAAGAAAGAGGAGCAAATTAAACACCGAGTTGCCAAAACCAGGATATTAGGTTTCAGCCCAGAGAGCTATTGGCTAAGGCTGTGTTTTTTTTTTGGGGGGGGGGGGGGGTTTGTGGGTGGGTGATGGTGGTGGTGGGTGGATGTTTAATGGACACGGAGAAAAGGGGAATCGGGTGTTTATGCCTTTCCCAGCGCCGCCGGGGCTCCGGGAAGACCAAGTTCAGTGTCTCGGGCGGGGGCGCAGGCGGGCAGGGGGCGGCGAGGCCGGGCCGGGGGCACCTCGGCGGGGTGGGGGCCCGGCGCCTTTCTTTTTCCTTTTTTTTTTTTTTTTCTTTTCCGCGGATGCAAATTTCTGGAGCGGGGAGAGGGAGAGCCCGGGAAGGGGGTGGCGTGGCGGTTGGTGGTGGGGAGGGGAGGGGAGGGAAGCCTTTTAATGACTCATTGATTGAGCCGGTTTAAAATTAGTTGTGTGCGCGAGCGTGAGTGTGTTTTCCGCCCCCCGGAGCCGCCGGGAGCCGGGAAGGAGGGAGCGGGGCTCGGCGAGGGGAAGACGGCGCGGCGGGGCCGCGAGCAGGGGGCAGGGAGGGCCTGGAGTGACGGCGGGCGAGGAAGAAAAATAAGCTTTTCCAATCTCCACCCCTCTGTTTTCCCCCCCTCGTTTCTTTTCTCTCTCGGAAGCTCTAGGGTGTGAATCATATTTTCTTTCTTCTCGGCAAAATGGACCCCGCGTCTGGGGAGGGGGAGGGGAGAGGGTGGGGAGGGAGGCGGCGGGGACGAGGTTTATTTTTCATCCTGGCTTCCTCCTTCCCGCCGCATCTGCCGGAGGCCGCGGCGAGCAGAGCGGGTCCGGGCTGCGGCAGGGAGAGCTCGGGGCCGGCGGGTCGCCCCGGCCCGGCTCCCGCTCCCGCTCCCGCTCCGAGCCCGCGGCGGCGGCGGCGCGCACCTGCCGGCGGGACTGCCCCTTCCCAGCCGCCTCGCTGACTTCCCGAAGCTCCGCCGAGGATCCGCGGCCGGGTCGGGGCGAGCCCCCAGCCGCGCGGAGGACCCCGCGGCCCAGCCAGGCGCCTCCTGCGAGGCCCGCGCTGTCCGCCGCGCCGGCCAGAAGAGATGAGCGGCTGGGGCGGCGCTTTTTTGGCCGAGAGCGCGCGGGCCTGACGCTGTTCGCGCCCCCCGAGTCGCCGCGAATGCCGGATTTTGCTTGGGTAGGGGGGTGCAGTTGGAAGGCGCTAAGATGGCGCTGGGCCTGGCCTGTCGCCAGGGCTGGTGGCGCAGTTGCTCGGCGGGCGCCATCTTTCTCGCGGCGCGGGCGGCGCCCTCCGAGGACATTTTGCTGACCAGGGCGCCGCGAGGCCGGGGGCCAGCGGGAGCCGGGAGCAGGGTGCTGAATTCTGGAGATGGGGCCGGAGTCGCCCGGCCTGCTCCTTCCCCAAGCCCCCAGACCCAAAAGACGAGGCCGGCTTGGAGCGGGAAGGGCTGGGGCCAACTTCTTCCTCCTTCCCACTTGTGATGGAAGAAGGGGGCTGAGGGTCGAGCCTCGAGACTGATGGGTTCCCTCCCTATTTGACCCCGCACCCCCACTGCCCCCAGTCAAAATTGGAGGTGAGGAGCTCTAGCCATCTTCTCTCCTGCTGCCTGAGAGTGGACGCCTTTGTCTTCCGTGGCCCGGCACGGGGCAGGGCATTGAGGCTTTGCCTTCATCCTCCTCCAGTTATTGTTGAAAGTAGAGTCCATTTAGATTACAAAAGTAAAAAAAAGAGTCGAGGACGGTGTGTATGCCCTCCGGTAACATGGTTCTCTACGGGTACCCTACTATTCGTTTCTTACTTTAAAACAACCCTGGGGAGACATTTACTAGTTGTCAGATTGTGGGAAGGCAATGGGTTCCAGTTTTTTGAAACTTCTTGTTGTCTTTTATATTACTTCAAATGGCAGTGAATCAAAACAGTTTCTTAGGACTCTGATCTTTCAATATGCTTTAAAACACTCTGAAAGTCTTCCTTTTCTAAAAAAGCATCCGTCTAAAGTATCTGTTGGTAGTATCTATTAGAGATGGGGGAGGGGTTTTAAACTTTTACATTGTTACTGACAAGAGGAGGGGAAAGGTCTGTAAAGCTCTGATCTCTCTAGAAATCCACAGACATGGAAAGTAAGTAGTTAATTTCTAAGAGAGGAAAGTAACACAGTGGTGCCACTAGGTGTGTCCTTGTGTTTATAAATACACAGTGGATATTTTAGACCATTTAAAAAGACCGACCATATATTGAACACCTTCTGTATGCCAGGAACTGTGCTTGGTGCTTTGTATAATTTCTGTTTTATCAGTCCTGGAAGATTGATTTTATGATTTGTGTACTGGGGAATGGATGAACGTTCATAGAAATACAGTAATTAATTGTTCGAGATCTTGCTGTTTTAAGAGGTAAAATTGGCATTGGATGATAAAAGCTGTGTTCTTCCCTCTACACCTATGGTTTCCAAATCTGAGCATCAGAATTAACTGGGGAGATGTTTTTGAATATAGATTTGTAACGTCATCTCTTCCACCATCATTTGCTAGGGCCAATTGGGTCATTTAATAATGTCTCAGGCAATCCAACTTCTTGATGTTCAATATTGAAATTCTGGCCCACCCTGTACCCGCTGCATCTGAAGATCTAGTATTCCAAAGCTCTCCAGGAGATTCCAGTGTGACATAGATACACATTTGGGCTGTCTTGTACTGTACTTGCACTGTTCTGCTGGCTCTTTTTTGAATTGGAACATGAGAATTGAGGTCCATATCATTTTGAGTTTCAGCAGTTTTTTGCTCATGTTAGTCTCATTTTTATTTTTCCTCTTCCAGATGCCATTTATCAAATAGTCAAAATTACGTTCTCAGAGAAAAAGGTTTAGGTATCCTAAGACTTTAAAATCTCAGTACATTTTTAAAAGTATATTGTCTTATTCTGTTGGGAGGTTATACAACATACAGGCTTCTAAGTCTAGCTAGGCCATCTAGTTAAGTCAAGACAGCTGTGCAACAAAAACAGAATTGAGGCCGGGAGGGGTGGCTCACACCTGTAATCCCAGCACTTTGGGAGGCCAAGGTGGATGGGTTACCTGAGGTCAGGAGTTTGAGACCAGCCTGGCTAACTAACATAGTGAAGCCCCATCTCTACTAGAAATACAAAAAAAAAATTAGCCAGGTAAATCACATGAGGCAGGAGAATCCTTGAATGCAGGAGGCGGAGGTGGCAGTGAGCCGAGACTGTGCCATTGCACTCCAGCCTGGGCAACAAGAACGAAACTCTGTCTCAAAAAAAAAAAAAAAAAGAAAGAAAGAAAGAATTGAATCTAGGCTTGATCCAGAAATTAAGAATAGGGTAGAAAAGACCCTGAAATAGTCCGGGTGAGGTGCCTCACACCTGTAATCTCAGCACTTCGGGAGGCCTAGGTGGGTAGATCACCTGAGGTCAGGAGTGCCAGACCAGCCTGACCAACATGGAGAAACCCCATCTCTACTAAAAATACAATATTAGCCAGGCATGGTGGCGCATGCCTGTAATCCCAGCTACTCGGAAGGTTGAGGCAGAATTGCTTGAACCCAGGAGGCAGAGGTTGCGGTGACCCAAGATCCCACCATTGCACTCCAGGCTGGGCAACAAGAGCAAAACTCCGTCTCAAAAACAAAAACCAGCAACAAACCCTAGAATAAAGACCTGAAGATAAATCCTTGAAAGAAAAGATGGTTTCCTGAATTTTGAATTGTGGACGTATCTTCTGAGTTTTGGGAAGTAGAACGGTCAAGTTATTCTAAATGTGGAACCTCGTAAGAGCAGAATACGGATAAAAACACTGGTCAGGAAGAGGTATCTGTAGCAGGTGATGAATAGATCACCTTACTAAAGTGAGAAAGAACCAAGTCAGTGATAGGATCATTAACTTCTCTGGATCAAGGATCATGTATTTTACTTATTTTGTGCTTCCCCTTGTTGATTCTTCTGAAATAATTGTTGTGTTTAGTAATTGCTAGGGAGAGTAGTTTAAAACTTAGATTTTTGATGCAGATGTCAGAATTATACCATCTTTGCATATGTACACATTGGAAAATTTTTGTAAGGAGCATCTGTTGAATACCTCTGTGCAGTCTGTGTCCAGTCTAGACCAGTAGATGGGTGGAGTGACTTCCAATTTTTAAAGGGAAGTCACTTGTGGTTTTTCTCCCCTTGTTTTTTATGGTAAATGCCAAAGTAATTACAGTCTTTGACTAAAATCCATTTAAAGCTTGAACGAGGGGGAAATCTGAAATAAACCTGTGTAGAGGGAAACAGTAGCTTCTTTAACCTTTACTGGAATTCAGGAGAGAAGATCTCTGCACTCATGGAATTTACAGTGTAGTGAGGAAGGACAGAAAATAGTTAAACACAAATAATCAAGATAATGACAGATTAAGAAAAATTGTAAGTGGCTGGTGGATCTAAAAGTATGTTGGGAATGACCATTTTGGCTAGTAAGGGTCAAGAAAAGTCCCTGTAGGGGTGACATTTGAGCTGAGACTTGAAACAAGAACTTGTGCTAGCCATGTGAAAAGCTGGAGAGACATTCCAGACCTGGGAACAAGTGCAAAGACCTGGAAGGCTAGGTGTTAGACTGGAGAGAAGGCTCCTCTGAGCAAGGGAAGAGTGGAATGAGATGGAGTTGGAGAGATCCTATATGTCTTATATTAAGCCATGGCGGGGGGGGGAGGATTTTTGGATTTCATTCTAATGGCAATGAGAATGGTTTTAATTTGGGCAGTGATAATGTTTTTGTTTTTAAAGATAACTGGCTATGTAGAGGAAGAGAGGAAACAGGGAAGTTAGGAGGCTCTTGGAATAGTCAGTCCAAGATCGGTAGTGTCTCCGGCAAGTAAAGTAGCAGTGAGATACAGAAGAGTAGACAGCAGTTTTCACATACACATTTTGGAGATGGAATCAGAAGGATTTGCTTACTGGGTTGGCTTTGGAGGGAGAAGGAGGAATCAAGGGTCCCTTCAGGTTGCAGGCCCAAGCTTTGGGCTGCCAGATGGTACCATTTACTGGTTGGAGAAGGAACAGGTAGGGAGGGATGGGTAGCAAGAGTTCCGTGTGGAACCTGTTGTATGTTTTAAATAATTGGGAGACATCCAAGTGGACAATTAAGTAGGCAATGAATATTTAAGTTGAGCTGGGGGGAGTTACCTAGACTGGACATAAATTTTGGGAGTCACTAGTACACAGATGGCATGTCATGGGACTGATTGAGAACGTTTGTGGCCTTAAGATCAAGCCCTAGGAGACTGATTTGAGTAATAAAACTCTGGTCTCCCACACAGCCAGATCTGTGGTGGGCAGCGGGGGGGTGGGGGGGAACCCACCCTAAACACTAACAATGGCTAAACCTTGGGCAAAGGAGACTGAAAGGCTCAGCCATTAAAGTGGGAGAATATTTTATCCTTTTCAAGAAAGAGGAGACAGTCACCTCTGTCAAATGCTGCTGAGAAGTTAAACAGTGAGAATAGAGAGATGTCTATTTGGATTTGACAACATGATGTGACTGTTTTGACAAGTGGTTTCAGTGGCATATGAAGATCCAAGCCATATTGGAATGCTCTGAAGAGAGAATAGGAAGTGAGGTGAATATCGACACCTTGCTAGGGAAATTTTGCTGCTGTAAAGTGGAGAGAAACAGCTTAGTGGCTGGAGAGGGAGATGGGGTCAAAGAAGAGAGCTCTTTCTCTTTCTTTCTTTCTTTTTCTTTTTTTTGAGACAAGGTCTTACTCAGTCATCCAGGTTGGAGTGCAGTGGTGCAAGCATGTCTCACCACAGCCTCAACCTCCTGGGCTCAAGTGATCCTCATACCTCAGCCTCTTCTGAGTAGCTGGGACCACAGATAGGCACCACCATAAGAGGGCTTTTCTTTTAAACAATGAGAACTAGATAGGCTAATGAGAATATTTAATAGAGAAGGTGAGGGTGAGACTAATCCAGAAGAGAGACCAAGTAGTACCAAAGGAGCAGCATTCTTTTCTTTTTTTTTTTGAGAAACAGTTTTGCTCTTGTTGCCCAGACTGGAGTGCAGCAGCATGATCTTGGCTTACTGCATCCTCCACTTCCCGGGTTCAAGCAATCCTCCTGCCTCAGCCCCCCAAGTAGCTGGGATTACAGGTATGCGCCACCACACCTGACTAACTATTTTTAGTAGAGACATTGTTCCACCATGTTGACCAGGCTGGTCTCGAACTGACCTCAGGTGATCCACCTGTCTCAGTCTACCAAAATGCTGGGATTACAGGCGTGCACCACACCTGGCCAGTAGCAGCATTCTTAAGGAATTCAAGACAGGAAGAGCACTTGCCTTTAGTGGCAGCAAGAAAACACAGTGTGGCAGAAGACAGAGAATAGGGGCACAAGTGCAAGGCGAACTGGAGGTGGAATATAGGACTTTACTTTCTGATGGTTTCTATTTCCTCCGTGAAGTCTGAGGCAAGACCAGCAACTTAACAAAGAAGGGGTAGTGGATGATTTCAGTAGAGATGGATACTTCACCTTGAGTAGTAGAACAAGGAACTGAATGGGAAACAGGGTAGTTTCAATGCTGGGCCTTGTTGAATGCCTCCCTGTGGCTTGGTGCTGTGAATTTAAGGTGAAACCAATCAGCTGAGCTAGTTGTGTGATTTTTCTGCCAGCAATATTCAGCTGTTATGAGGGCAGCAAAGGGCAGGCAGGTGATCACCCAAAATCGGTGTTTTGCCCTGCAGGTTTGACAGAGGAGAAGCAGTGCCAGGGGCTTGAGAGTAGTTGCAGGGGGTGATTTTGATGATGAACCTTGGAATGTTAGCTGGGTAGGAAAGTAAGAGAAGAATGGGAGTGGAGGCCATGAATTTAACCATGAAAATCGTTACTAGCTTCAAGTGAGTTAATGGGTACAGAGTTTCAGTTTGGGAAGATGAAAAAATTTCTGGGCAGGTGCAGTGGGTCATGCCTGTAATCCTAGCGCTTTGGGAGGCTGAGGTGGGCAGATCACCTGAGGTCGGGAGTTTTGAGACCAGCCTCACCAACATGGAGAAACCCCATCTCTACTAAAAGTACAAAATTAGCCGGCTATGGTGGCGCATGCCTGTAATCCCCGTTACTCGGGAGGCGAAGGTTTCCATGAGCTGAGATTGTGCCATTGCACTCCAGCCTGGGTGACAAGAGCAGAACTTGGTCTCAAAAAAAGAAAAGCATTTCTAAAGCTGGATAGGGCTCTTGGTTTTACAACAATGTGAAGGTATTTAACGCCACGTAACCGAATATTTTTTTTTTTCCCCCGAATACTTTTAAATGGTTAAAATTCTGTAATTCCATAGAGAAATAAAGGGTTTTCCCAATCCTGAAAAAACAATGGTTAAAATTGTAAATCTTATATATATTTTACCACAATAAAAAATGAATTAGTCTGGGCCCCGTGGCTCACATATATAATCCCAGCACTTTGGGAGGCCAAGGCAGGTAAATCACTTCAGGCCAGAAGTTTGATCAGCCTGGCCAACATGGCAAAATCTGTTTATACTAAAAATATGAAAAAGAAAAATAGCCAGTCACAGTGACACACACCTGTAATCCCAGCTACTCAGGAGGCTGAGGCATCAGAATCACTTGAACCTGGGAGACAGACATTGCAATGAGCTGAGATCTCCCCACTTCACTCCAGCCTGAGCAACAGAACTAGACTGTCTCAAAAAAAAAAGAATGAACACTTAAATTTTTGTGGCAGATAGATATGTTATATGCATATGGAAGAAAATTGCATTAGAAATGAAATCTGATTACTGAAGCTAAAGAGAAAGTAACTTCCCTTATCATGGTACCAAACTTGAGT